CTTGTCTCACCCTGTCATCTCTCCCTTACACATGCACTTTTGCTTTCTTCCATGAGACCTCTCAACAGGTCAAGTCCATGAGTCTGCTTGAGCTTGGACATTAAGGCTCTAAGTTATAAGCCTGTTTTCTTTATAAAATACCTAGACTTAAACATTCTGTTATAAGCAACATAAAATGGACTAAAGGAGTATTGAAACCTGCCTCACAAACATGATTGTTATGGTAAGGTATAACTTCATAACTTCTGTAAAGCAAATACAACTCTTTACTCAGCCAACCAGCTGATATCCTCATTCAGGTTTATAAGCAGAGAAATGAGACTTAGGTTAACAACCTGCTTGGATAAGTCTCTGATACCAGTTTTCATCAGACTGAAGATCCTTTGCTATTATTTCCATTATTTCTGTGGACAAAAACTTTTAAAAAGAAACCAGTGTGTATTCACTCCCTAGTGACAAAGCATTTCAAAGCAAGGAAGATACTGAGTGTCAAGGGCAAGAGTTGAAGAAAAGAAAAACCAATGACATGTCTTCCGAGAACTCATTGAGATTTTTTGTGTTTGGTTTGATGGCCAAGTGAAGATGAGCAGCTTCAAGACACAAGCAGAAGATTCTTGATCCATGCAGTGATGTCAGCTGGCAGGGTAACTGGTTTGAAAAGTGACCCTGAGACACCTGAGAAGTAAAACTACAAGCATGATAAAGTCACTGGATAAGGTCTGCAAGCCTCAAAAGGAAGGCTGACGGCAGTTCTCAAGAGATGAGTCTACTACTATTAGGGAACTTGACTAAATGAACTTGAAAGTATGTATCTTCCCCAGAAGTCACAGTAATGGAAAGATACAAACTTTCAGCCCAAACTTAAACTGTTAACCTTACATTTAAGGACTTTCCTTTTCACAGAAACTGGTCAAAGTATGTGATCTGTTGGCATCTACTTTGAGCTGCAGGCACTTGACAATGTCATCCTTGAGAGAAAGGAAAGTGTGGTGAGCCTCAGTCTCCACAGCTGTCTGCCACAGAGCCCTGTCCTTTTGAAGTGTAGGCCGGGCAGAGCCCAAGTGGAGCTGAAATTTCTCTAAGGTATGGAGACAGATCACAATTTGAAGCTGCTGATGTGACACTACAGAGGAAGAAACTGCTGAGGAAAGAATTCCTACAAGTCTATATGGAGATTCAAGCCAGGTCCTGGGAAATGTATACTATCAACACTTACATTTGAAAAAAGATTTGTATTAAACCAATGATCTTAAATCCGCATGAAGAAAAAATTAAATCTGTGGTTTCTAGAAGGATTACAGTAGTTTCTATAAATGCTTTGTCAATGGTCAGCTATCTCTATGAAGATTTTAGAAGGGTGTTCAGTAAATCTTAATGGTTTTTTTCTTCTTGGTGGAATATTGAACAGTTTTTTTTAAACTTGTAGTTTTCTGTATTTGAATTCTTTATAATGAAAATGAATTATTTTTACAAAACAAAATATAATTTAAATATTAATAATGACATTTTGTCTAATAACCACGGCCTTAGGTTTTCTGGGCTTCACATAACTTATGAAATCAAGGAAAAATATGAACAGTTTGAGTAAAAATAACAGAGATAGGTGATCACACCTCAAGTCAGCAACACTGCTCCAGGTCATTCTGTGCTACATACTGCATCATTTTTGTGCCTGTGGACTGGCACACGTTTAGATAGATGCCTCTGAATTCAAGGAAAAGAAACTGTACAGACACGTCCTCCTAGCAAAAGTTTTGAGGCTAAGGATTTAAATCCCTTCCCTCATCTCTCCCAACTCCAAAGCATCCATGCAAAATAGACAAATTACATTGAGAGGTATGCAGTAATCAGTCAGGCTTCAGATTTCTCAGCTACAATCTCTCATGAATATGCAAAGTTGTAAAGCAGGCAAATTGATGTGTGGTTTTAAAAAAGCACTGGGAGCTATCCCACAGTCTCAGGTAAGTGTTCCAAACTGAGTAAGGAAATCTGGTATACTGCAGTCAGCACATTGTGCTTGCCTCTGTGAGTAACACTTACTGCACTGCATTTGAATTGTTTGTACCAGTTGATGCTCAGTTCCTGGTAGACAGCAAGTGTTTCTCTGCCCTATAGCACATTGCTGCCATTTGCTTAGTAAATATTTAATAAATGAGTAAGTATCCATCTGTCCCAGTCCATAACATTTTTCTAAGAATTTCATAAAAGCTCTTAGTTCTGTATTTTTAAATATTGCTTGATAGCTACAATTAACAAATCTTTGATGTTATTTCAAATTCTGTATTCAAGGAGATTGCTTTAAATTATATCCAAATAGTAATATGATTTAAATAACTGTCTTTTGAACATATGGTTGAGTTAGTAGCTGGATTGTGGATCTGGAATTGCAGTATTTCAAGAGAAAAAAAACTGCATAATATATTTTCTGACATTTTTAGAAAAATTAAAGCAAAAATAGTTCTCTACTCATTTCATATGTGGTTTTATCTAGCATTAATGAATGGTGAAGTTTCATCAACTGCAGAATTATTTGAAAGAGGGTCAATTATAGTCAGTACTTTCACAAAAGGTAGTATAAGTGCTTTACTTAGGTATAGTGCTAGACAAAATTTTATTCTATGGGAGAGATTAACTTAAATTTTTAAGGATATTTGCTGTTATATCAACCTATTTCTAGCAGAAAACCTAAAGAAGATCAAAAGCATAATCTTCAGAAAAATTCAAAAGGAAATTTCATGTGAGTGAAGTTATTTAGTAGAGACAAGTCTGGTTCCTGAATGAGACCAACAGAAGCACTTACAATTGATAAAATATTCATTTAACATTTTAATGCATTTTGAAAGGGGTTATTGTATATCTTAGAAATTATTTGGGTTATTTGTCTTTGCTGTGTTAGGCTATATATTGAATTTAGGTTTTAAAACAAACCTGAAGCATTGAACTTTGTAGAGTTTTTTTTTTTTAAGTTACTTGGAATATCACCATAGAATTAGATAAAAGCGCATTAGGGTATTTGTAAGTATAGTAATAACTTATTTCTGTAGTCTTTGCAGTTCATGAGAAATTCACACTCTCATTTTATATTAATAGCATTTATTGAATAATTACCTGTCACAGGTATTAGACTAAGTTCTTTGCTTACATCATCTCAGATAATCCTTACAATTACTTACCCCTATTTTAAAGATGAAGGAACATGAAGTTTAGAGAGGCAAAGCAATTGGCCTAAGTTTACACACCTAGTAATTGGGTTCAATCAGGCTTAATCTGATTAAAAGCCCAGTCCTAGCCACTGCAGTTTACAAGCTAGATATTGAAGCTTATCCAAGAAATTTTTTTGTGTGCTTATTGTATGTATATGCTGAATTCCATGAATTTGTCTTGGTCTAGAAGTCTAGGGACCTTGCCACTCAAAGTGTGGTTTGTAGAACAATAGTGGCAGCATCTACCATGAGCTTGTTAGAAGTACCTGTCAGACCCTAGCCCAGGAATATAAAATCAGAATATGCATTTCCAGAAGATCCTCAGGTGACTGGTGTGAATATTCAGGTTTGAGAAGCAAAGGCTAAGAAAATCTTGGCCAAGAGTAGTGAGTTTAGAATGGTGGCTTCTGTGTCATCTGATTCTAAAGAGTATCTTTAGACTGTGCCAGATCTTTCTACTTCAGATGCCATTCATATTGTATAGACACACCAGTCTAGGTATACTGGACATATGATATTTGTTAGAAATCTCTTAACTCTTTCAAAGCATTCAGTATTGCCCTTTAGAGGACTGTTTTGAGGATATAATATCTTAAAATTTTAAGAGTATTGCATATCAGATATAATGGTAACCATGTATTCAGCCATTTCAATTTTGTATTACATTTTATTTTTAACTGAAATTTATTAAGTTGGCAAGAATGGGGTGACTAATGCATAAATGTGACCCATTGTTGTTAAAGGATACCACTTAGGTTAATAAAACTTAGAAATAACAAGGTGATGTCACCCCCTCTCCTTTCCTAGTCTGCCTAATGCCTCTTTCCTAACACTGGATTTGTCATTTTTTTAGATATGGAAATTATGTACTATGACTGGATTTCTCTTTGTTTACATGGCGCCCTTATGGACTAGCAGGGTCTGTGCTTTAAGTATCTCCTAACAGTCCAAGATTTAACCAAATATATGTATCCATGTATTAACAAATAAATACTTTTTTTCAGAATTTCACATAGGGAGCACTATTCTATTACGCATGCACTACCACTAACATAATAGATATAGTGAAACAACTCCTAACTTTAAATCACTTTATACATTAAGGCAATAACTGATTTTGAGGATGGAAAGTGAATTCCAGTAAGTTGGTACATTACCTAGTAAGTTGGTACATTACCTTTTAATTTTTCTAATACTCCATAAAATACCAGCAGTTTATACTGTAATTTTAAGTAAGCATGGTTTGAGTTTTTTGTTTTTCACTGAATTGCAAGTAGAAGTATTAATTTAATAAAATTATCAAGTAATAGTTCAGTTGGCTATTTTTATGATGTAATAAAATATTTGATTTGGTTTTAGGTGTAGATTTGTCCTGTATTTATAAATTAACTTTCAAGTAATGAGCCCAGTGAAGGAGGAGTTGGAAAGACTTTGTCAGTTGACGTGAGCTTTGTCTCATGCCTCTGTTGTCTTAGCTGCAATACCTTCTTCTGAGGGATGACTTTTCTTTGAGGAAAGTCTAACCCTTTCCTGTAAGCCTAAGCAATGTTAAAATTCAGAATGCTTCCTTGAAGTAAGAGCTTCAAGGACACAAAGATAATACATCAAGTAAGTACAACTGTAAAAGCTGAAAGTAAGATTTACTTTCCACTCCTAATATTATTAATCATATTTTAGTTATTCTAGCATGTACACTTAGTTATAAAACTATTCACTTCTTTCTTGAAAATCAGTTGGTATTGATAAGTATGAATCAAATATTCTCCAGAATTTTACATTTTTTTTTTTATTTTTCAGCAAAGATGTCAAGAAAGTTAAGCTTGCCAACTGACCTAAAGCCTGATCTAGGTAAGTAAAATAACTAACAAAAAAAATATCCAAAATGACTGAACCCTGTGTAATGGAAAGATGAGAAAACCAAAACATTTAAAATTACTGTAATCTTTGGAAGTAATGTTTAAAATGGCCAGATATTTGAAAAGTCCAGGACTTTTGGACTAGTCTTCAGAATTCAGTAATGAGCTATTGATTATGGGACATTTCATTTGCATCAACTAGTTTAGTCCACTTTCTGTTGGTATAGCAGTACCTGTAGCTGGGTACTTTATAAAGTAAAGAGGTTTGTTAATAATTCTGGAGAGTCAAGAGCATGACACCACCATCTGTTTGACTCTGGGCCAAAGAAGGCCTTCCCGCTACATCACAATATGGTAGATGGCATTGTGACGGAACTGTGTTGGAGAGGAGAGATCACATGGCAAGACAAGAAACCAGACAGATTCAGAGGTCAGGTTTGCTCTTTTTATAACAACTTTCTCTTGCAGCAACTAATCAGGGTCTCTCAAGATGTGTGTATATGTACATGTACACACACACACACACACATATACATATGTGTGATATGTCTTCTGCAGGTGATGTCCCACCCAGTGACCTCATATCTTCTGAGGTGTGTGTGTATGTATACATGTATATATGTGCATATATATATGTATGTATATCTTCTGCAGGTGATGCCCCACTCAGTGACCTTATATATCTTCTGAGGGTAATACCCCAGTGATCTAATAGCAGTCATCTTTTCTACCATGTTATAATCTGTAACTGGAATATAGCTTTAGGCAGAAGAAGGACATTTTTGGGAACTACATTTTGCTGTTGTCATAATTAGTAATGTTACTGTTTTAAGAGGCTTTCTATAATCAAAATTACGTTGTATTGCATTATTAGAGAAAATGTTTTCAATCTGAATCTAAATTTGATTATGAAAAGCTTTGGGGGAGTATAGCTAGAATTTAGTTATACCTCTTTACCAAAACACCTTAGAAAACGTTAACTTTTTAAAAATTTTCCATGACTTGACTCATTTCTTTCCAAAAAGCATTGAAACATGTTTTGAGAAAGGATTTATTAATGGGAATTGTAGAAGCTGCTGAGAATTTTAATATGTAATAGCATGAGTGCCAGGGAGAAGTAACAAAGTTCAATAGCTATAGATCCAAGAGGGAGAGAAACTATATATGGTTGTAGAAGTTAGGATAAACTGATGGAGATGGAGAATATGCACAATTTTGTTAGGTACAGAGAGGCAGATGCAAGAAAAATCACAAGCAATAGCCTAAAAGTAGTTAAGTGCTGGTTATGTATGGAGAAAATCAAGTGGGTCCATTGCTTCCACAATGGACTAAAGTAGGGTAGCATTAGGAGATAGATCCAGGTTAGGTTAAAGGTTTTGTGAAGATTCGTAACAACCTGAGTAAGAGAATAGAGCATGATTAAATAGACAAATATAAGTTTCTGGGCACTTTTTTTTTTTTTTTTTTACTGAGGTGACAAAATTAACACTATGCCATTTAAAATATAATTGGATTGTGTTAGCAGTGAGACCAAATGTTGTCAGTTTAGGTAAATGGTGATGAGAATTTAGGTTAATAGATGTAGATTGGTAATGGGAAACAAAGAAACAACATTTCAGTAATGCAACATAGAGCTTGTCATGCCAGCACTTGTACAGATAAAATAAAAGGAGTCAGACCTGTGGCTTATTCCTTAACGGAACTGAAGTGTCATTGACATAAATAAATGTCATGAGAATAATTTAGTGTTTTGTTTAATGATGTGAATTGATTTTGCATAGTGAGACAAAATAGGAAGAGTCCAGTTAGCACTTGGAAGTGTAGTTCCCAGAGAATCAAGGCCATGCCTAGAGATAGACTTGGGATTGGCCACAGGGGAAGTAGCTGAAGAAGAGAGATTTATTAGTGTAATTTTTAAATATTCATGTCATTATAGACAGAACTGTGTAAAGAAAATATTCTGGTATCAAGTATGATCTAGATACCAGTTACATATTTTGAAGAAAAATGTGTTAGGTAAATGTTGGTGACAGTTAAATTGACATTCAAGAAAAATAGAAGCTGAATTTTTATTGATTAAAGGCATTCGTGTGGGTAATTGGAAATAAGAGGTCCATCATCGGAGTACTTCTAATGCATTTTGTAACATGTAGACAATTGAAAAGACCTTCACTTTTGTAATTTTACTTAATCATGAATTCTTTGTTACCAAAGGAAGAAACAGTACCATGAGAAGAGAAGGTGGTAAGGGTGAAATTAGGAAAATAAGTCAGGGTGCCAAAGGTCACACAGTCAAAAATTCACTGGGAAGTACTGAGCTCAAGTCTGAAAACTGTGGATTTTATTCATTTGTATTACACATTTAAGCAAAGCATAAAGGTAAATTTTTCTTTTCAGTTAAAAACTGTTCCGTACATTTCGGGGTTTTTTTTTTTTTTCTTCAGATTTAACTACTTGACCAAATTTATACCAAAAAATGTGATATTTTGTAACTTGCATAATCTCACATTTTAAATCATTTCAGATGTAAAAGATAATTCCTTCAGCAGATCACGGAGTTCAAGTGTAACCAGCATTGACAAAGAATCCCGAGAAGCAATTTCTGCACTTCATTTCTGTGAAACTTTTACTCGAAAATCAGACTCATCCCCTTCCCCGTGTCTGTGGGTTGGAACAACTCTAGGAACAGTGCTTGTCATTGCCCTGAACCTTCCCCCAGGTGGAGAACAAAGACTTCTTCAGCCAGTAATTGTGTCTCCAAGTGGTATGTACACTCTGGTGCCACAGTTAGAGTATACATGTATAATCTGCTATAACTGAATTAGAAGCCTTTGCTTTTCATTATTGACCTAAGAATTCTAAAATAAAAAGTAAACATTACAGTCTTTATGTTTTTAATAAGGAAATACTTAAAACAAGATTCCAGAATGCCAAATTCAGCTATTAAAGTTTGGGGTTTTTTTAAACTCTAGGATTTTGTATAAAGTGATTAGAACATAAGAAAATGGGGGGAAATTGTTGTTATAGTGATATATCATAATGCTTGAAAATATTATGTTCCAAAAGCAAAAAGATGAATGTACTTAGGAAAAAACAGAAATATTTATTTCTAAACATTCTATATATTTTTTTTAAATCACTAAGTGTGAAATCTGAGATTATTTTTCTTTTTTTAAGTATTAGGAACAGGTGAATTGTAGCAAAGTTTTGCAGTCTTCATATGTTAAAATGAGATTGGTTGTTACAGACTAGGGAAGACTAAAGAAACAGAAAAAATAAAGTAAAATGATAAGAACAGTAGTACAGTTTTTGGCACATACTTATACTAAAACTCTGTCTGAAATTCCAGTTTGACTAGATATCCTTTATTTTATGTGGTAACCCTACTATAGAGAAGACATAAATATGAAAAAGAAACTATTTTTTTTCTAAGAAAAAATTTGAAAGAACATCAGCAACTCTTCCTTATAGAAATAAAAGGAAATAATCTATGGGAAGATTTTTTTCAAGCTATACAATATTACATAAATATAAAATAAAAAACATTAAAACAGAAAATTAAGTCAACTCTTTATCTGTCCTTCTGTTGGATTAATGTTATCATTTGTCTTACTTAGAAATAAGCACAAAGTACATTTGTATATATTTAAGGATGTAGGAGTAAAGGATACCACTAATTAAAGCAAATTAATAAATGTAACCCCTAAAGTAATACTATACACTTAACAAAATAATACCTTGAGTAGATTTGACATTTATTGGTGAGTAGTTTAAATGAAAACTTTGATTTCAGATGGAATGTTCAGAAATATGTGCAATTGTTTTTCTCATTGTTCCTCTAGATCAATACTGTCTATTAGAAATGTAAGATAAGCCACATATGTAATTTAAAGTTTTCTAGCAGCCACATTAAAAACAAAACCTCAAAAAAACAGATGAAATTAATTTTAGGGAAATGGTGTACCACCAAACTACATACCAGCTGTCAAAATTAATTTTAATAGCTATTTTAGCTTGATGTACCTAAGATATTGTCATTTTATCATTTAATCATTATATATATTTTTTATTCACTCATTCACATGTACATGCATTGTTTGGGTCATTTCTCCCTCCTGCCCCCACCCTCACCTCTCCTTCTACGCCCCCTCGCTTCCAGGCAGAACCTGTTCTGCCCTTATCTCCAATTTTGTTGAAGAGAAGATATAAGCATAATAAGAAAGACAAAGCGGTTTTGCAAGTTGAATTAAGGATAGTTATACAGAGAGATTCCTAGCATTGCTTCCATGTACAAATGTGTTACAACCCAAGTTGATTCATCTCTAACTGATCTTCACACTGGTTCCTGATCCCCTTCTTGTGTTGACCTCTGTTGCTTTAAGGTTTCTGTATTAGTTCCTCTGGAGTGGGGACATCAAACACTTTCATGTTTTGAATATTCTACCTATCCCCATACCTCCTGTATGTGCTCTCCCCTTGTCATGTGACCCAAGTCCAACAGCATTTCTGTATTTGACCTAGATCTAAAGTCTTCTGAGCCTGGCTAACCTCGCTCAGCATGATGTTCTCCAGTTCTATCCATTTACTTGAGAATGATAAGATTTCATTTTTCTTCATGACTGAGTAAAATTCCATTGTATATAAATACCACATTTTCTTGATCCATTTGTCAGTACTAGGGCTTCTTGGTTTTTTCCATAACTTGGCTATTGTAAATAGCGCTGCAGTAAACATGGGTGTGCAGGTATCTTTGGAGTAACCTGTGTTACATTCCTTTGGGTATATCCCTAGGAGTGGGATTTCTGGGTCATATGACAGATCTATGTTTAGATTTTTAAAAAACCCTCCAAATTTTTTTTCAGAGTGGTTGCACTAGCTTGCATTCCCACCAGTAGTGTACAAGGGTTCCTTTTTCCCCACACCCTTGCCAACATCTGTTGGTGGTGGTGTTTTTGATGATGGCTATTTTAACAGGAGTGAGGTGGAATCTTAGTGTGGTTTTGATTTGCATTTCCTTATGGTTAGAGATGGTGAGCATTTTTTCATGTGTCTTCTGGCCATTTGAATTTCTTCTTTTGAAAAAGTTCTGTTTAGTTCAGTTGTCCATTTCTTTATTGGTTCATTGATTTGGGGAGAGTTTAGTTTCTTAAGTTCCCTGTATATTCTGCTTATCAGTCCTTTGTCTGATAAATAGCTGGCAAATATTTTCTCCCACTCTGTGGGAGGTCTCTTCAGTTTAGGGAGCATTTCTTTTGTTGTACAGAAGCTTTTTAATTTTATGAAGTCCCATTTGTCCATTCTTTCTCTTAGTTGCTGAGCTGCTGGGGTTCTATTGAGGAAGTCCTTTCCTATACCTATAACTTCCAGAGTGTTTCCTACTCCTTCCTGTACTAACTTCAGAGTTTCAGGTCTGATATTAAGGTTTGATCCATTTTGAGTTGATACTATTACAGAGTGATAAACATGGATCTAGTTTTAGTTTTTTGCAGAAGGATAACCACTTTTCCCAGCGACATTTGTTGAAGAGGCTGTCTTTTTTCCATCGTATATTTTTTGGCACCTTTGTCAAAAATAAGGTGTGTATAGTTGTGTGGATTCATATCTGGGTCCTCTATTCTGTTCCACTGGTCTTCATGTCTGTTTTTGTGACAGTACCATGCTGTTTATATTGCTATTGCTTTGTAATATAGTTTGAAGTCGGGTATTGTGATACCTCCAGCATTGCTCTTTTTGCTGAGTATTGCTTTGACTATTCGTGGTCTCTTGTGTTTCCAAATGAACTTTAGGGTGCATTTTTCAATCTCTGTGATGAATGTCATTGGGATTTTTATGGGAATTGCATTAAACACGGATATTGCTTTGGGTAGTATAGCCATATTTACTATGTTCATTCTACCAATCCATGAGCATGGAAGAGCTTTCCATCTTCTGTAGTTTTCCTCAGTCTCTTTCTTCAGGGGTTTGTAGTTCTCCTTGTAGAGGTCATTCACATCCTTTGTTAAGTTTACTCCTAGGTATTTGATTTTTTTTGAGGCTATTGTAAATGGAATTGTTTCCCTATATTCCTTCTCAGTTTGTTCATTGTTGGTGTATAGAAGAGCTAATGATTTTCGTAAATTGATTTTATGTCCTGCCACTTTTCTATAGCTGTTTATGTTGTCTAGGAGTTTTGAGGTAGAGTTTTTTGGGTCTTTAAGGTATAAGATCATATCTGCAAATAGGGATATTTTGACAGTTTCTTTACCTTTTTGTATTCCTTTTCTTTCTTATTCTTGCCTAATTACTCTGGCTAGGAATTCCAGGACTATGTTGAATAGGAGTGGGGATAGTGAGCACCTGGGTCTCATTCCTGATTTTAGGGGAAATTGTTCCAGTTTTTCACCATTAAGTATGACGTTGACTGTAGGTTTGTCATATATAGCCTTTACAATGTTGACGTACATTCCTTCTATTCCTGGTTTTCTTAGAGCTTTTATCATGAAGTGGTCTTTGATCTTTTCAAAGGCTTTTTCTGCATCTGTTGAGATGATCAAGTGTTTCTGTCTTTGCTTCTATTAATGTGCTTTATTACATTTATAGATTTGTATATGTTGAATCACCCTGCATCTCTGGGATGAAACCGACCGACTTGGCCACAATGGATGATCTTTCTGCTGTGTTGTTGGATTTGGTTTGCCATTATTTTATTGAGGATTTCTGCATCGATGTTTATTAAGGAGATTGGCCTGTAGTTCTCCTTTTTGGAGGTGTCTCTGTCTGGTTTTGGGATCAGAGTAATATTGGCTTCATAAAATGAGTTAGTCAGTGTTCCTTCCCTTTCTGTTTCATGGAACAGTTTAAGGAGGGTTGATACTAGTTCTTCTTTAAAGGTCTGATAGAATTCAGCAGAGAATTCATCAGTTCCTGGACTTTTCTTTTTTGGTAGACTCTTTATTACTGCTTCAATTTCATTTTGTGTTATAGATCTAGTCAGGTGATTAATAGTTCAGTTTTGGATGGTCGTAAGTGTCTAGAAATCTGTCCATTTCTTCAAGATTTTTAAATTTATTAGAATATAGGTTCTCAAAGTAGTCTCTGATGATTTCCTGGATTTCCATGGTGTTTGTTGTTCTCTCCCCTTTTGCATTTCTGATTTTACTGATACGGGGTTTTTCTCTCCTCATTTTAGTCAGGTTTGCCAGGGATCTATCAATCTTATTTATTTTCTCAAAGAACCAGCTTTTTGTTTCATTCATTCTTTTTTTTTTTGTTTCTAGTTCATTGATTTCAGCCCTTGTTTTTATTATTTCTCTCCTTCTGCTTGTTTTAGAATTTTCTTGTTCTTGTTTTTGTAGGAGTTTGAGATACAACATTAGGTCATTGATTAGAGATCTTTCTGACCTTTTAATATATACACTCATGGCTATAAACTTTCCTCTTAGGACTGTCTTTGCTGTATCCCGTAGATTCTGGTAGATCATGTTTTCATTTTCATTAACTTCCAGGAACCTTTTAATTTCCTCTTTTATTTCATCAGTGTAACCCATTGATCATTGAGCAATGTTTTGTTCAGCTTCCAATTGTTTTCATGTTTTTTTACTTTTGTTTTTGTTGTTGATTTCTAGTTTTAATGCATGGGATTATTTCTGTTTTCTTATATTTGCTGAGTTTTGCTTTGTGCCCTAAGATATCATCAATTTTGGAAAAGGTTCTGTGAGCTGCTGAGAAGAATGTATATTGTGCAGAAGTTGGACGAAATATTCTGTAGAATCAGCTAGGTCCATTTGCTCTGTGGTGTGATTTAGTTCTAGAATTTCTTTATTGATTTTTTGTTTGGATGACCTATCTATTGGTGATAGGCAGGTATTAAAGTCTCCCATTACCACTCTGTTGGAGCCTATATATGTTTTTAGGTCCTTTAGAGTATGTTTGGTGAAATTAGGTACATTAACATTGGGTGCATATAGTTTGGTAATTGTTATTTCCTTTTGGTGTATTTCCCCTTTTATTAGTATGGAATGTCCTTCTTTATCTCATTTGATCAATGGAAGTTTGAAGTCTACTTTGTCCGAGATAAATATTGCTACTCCTGCCTGTTTTCGGGGGCCATTGTCTTGGTAAATCTTCTTCCAGCCTTTCACCCTCAGCCAGTGCTTATTTCTGTTAGTGAAGTGGGTCTCCTGAAGGCATCAGATTATTGGATCTTCCTTTTTAATCTAGTTTGCCAAACGGTGTCTTTCGATGTGGGAATTAAGTCTGCTAATATTCACTGTTAGTATTGATAGGTATGTGGTGATTCCTGTCATTTAGTTGTCTTTGTTGTTTAAGGATTGGATTGTGTGCAACTGTATCAGTGTTACTCTCTGCTTTCTTGTCTTTTCTCTGCTGTGGTTTGGTACTGCCTGCCCTTTCATGGTTTTGTTTGTTTTCACTTTCTGTGTACAGAATTCCTTGAAGAATCTTTTGTAGTGGTGGCTTGGTGGTCATACATTGTTTTAGTTTCTGCTTATCCTAGAAGACATTTATTGCTCCATCTATTCTGAATGATAGTTTTGCTGGGTAGAGTATCCTAGGGTCAAAGTTATTTTCATTCAATGCCCTGAATCCCTCACTCCATGCTCTTCTTGCTTTTAAGGTTTTCGTTGAGAAATCTGCTGTGATTTTGATGGGTTTACCTTTGTATGTTATTTGTTTTTTCTCTCTTACAGCCTTCAGTATTCTTTCTCTATTCTCTGTGCTGTTGTTTTAATGATAATATGTCGTGGGGTCATTCTATTTTGGTCAAGTCTGTCCCGGAGGCTTCCTGTACCTGAATGGGCTTAGTTTTCTCTAGATTTGGGAAATTTTCTGTTATTGTTTTGTTGAATATGTTACGAATTCCTTTTGCTTGCACCTCTTCTCCTTCTTCAATGCCCATGATTCTCAGGTTTGGTCTTTTGATGGAGTTGGTGAGTTCTTGCATATTCTTTTCACAGGTCTTGTGTTGTCTGACTAATAATTCTTCAGTTTTTCATTTAATTTCCATTTCATCTTTAAGTTCTGAGATTCTGTCTTCTGCTTGTTCTAGTCTGCTAAACTGGCCTTCCATTGTGTTTTGTATTTCTGTTTCATTCTTTTTTCTGAGGTTTTCCATATGATGGGTCACTTCCTCTTTAACATTGTCAATTTTCGTCCTTAATTCATTTATCTATTTATGGTGTTTGCATTTTCAGTTTGGTGTTTATTTAGGGTTCCTGTGAGTTCATTTATTGTTTTCATGTTTTCCATATTCTTTATTTTTGTTGTCTTGGAATTTCTTGAGTGCCTCCTGTACATTTTGGTTGACCATATCTAGTAATATCTCTATGAAATTCTCATTGATTACTTGCAGGATTTCTTCTTTCAGGGAGTTCTTGCAGGCTTCCTTGGGTTCCTTGGTATAGTTTATCTTTGTTTTGTTGGAGTCTCGATCTGGGTATCTGTTTTCTTCATTTCCCTCTGAATCCTGTACTGATTTTTTTGGGGGGAGAAGAATGGTTTCCATCCCTTTTTCATCTTCCCATCATTTCACTTGATACTGTTTCTGTCCCTGGTCTATGTGTAATTTAGTATTAGCTAACTTACAGTACTAAAACTAACAAAAACCAAGAAAGAAAGAAAAAAAAGAGAAGGAAAAAAAAACGGAGAACCAAAGAAATCAACAGGAATAGATGGTGGGCAATCAAACAGTGAACAAGACATATAAACATTTAAAGAAAAGAAAAAAAAAAATTTGCCAGTTCAGGAACAGTAGAATTTCAGTCTGAGTAGTTCTGGTGTTACTCTTTTAGCATGCAGTCCCGTTTCCCTGCATCTCCTAGGTAGGTTTGGAGCAGGCATCTGGTGGTGCTGGGGCCCTCCTGTTTTCTCAGGTGGGTGCCAGCCCCGGTGGCCGGCGGCTTGGCAGCCCTGCAAGACAGAGGCCTGGCATGCCTTCAGGCCAGTGGGTGGGCCAGTGGGGGGGGGGGAGTCAGGGGCCCAGCAGGCTATAATTATTATATTTTAATTAATGAGATACTTTACATTTAGTTATTTTTTTGTACTGAAGTATTCAAATCCATTATATGTTTTACTGTCACAGCTCAACACAATAGTCAGCCACAGTTGGAGGAAGAACTATGGCGCATTCCTGATACTCTGTAGCCACACGTATCTGTGACTATCAAATTGGACAGTACAATTCTGGATGCCATGTGCCATCTACTTACTCTGATTCTCATTGGTAGGGCACTCACTGGGTATGAAAGGAAATAGTTCCAAATACCCAACGTACTAGTTATTTATTAATCTACAGACCAGATACATGTTTGTTGAATTAAATTGTGAATTATCGGTTAGTGGCATTTATCTTTTACCTGACTCATAAATATCATGACTTGAATTTTGAGTCTTTTCAGCAACCCAGTGTATAACTTCAGTTTAATATGCGTTCAACATAGTTTTGAGGGTGTACTTAGTATCAGAGATAGGATAAGCATATTTATTGTGTGAATTAAGATATTTCAGTTATGTACTAAACTTCTATATTTTAGGTACTATATTGAGGTTAAAAGGTGCAATCTTGAGAATGGCATTTCTGGATGCCACAGGCTGCTTAATGCCACCTGCATATGAACCCTGGAAAGAACACAATGTTCCTGAAGAAAAGGATGAAAAGGAGAAATTGAAAAAACGACGGCCTGTCTCAGTATCCCCCTCCTCTTCTCAGGAAATTAGTGAAAACCAGTATGCAGTGATATGTTCTGAAAAGCAAGCAAAAGTAATCTCACTGCCAACCCAGAACTGTGCTTATAAGCAAAACATTACTGAGGCCTCATTCGTGCTCCGTGGAGATATAGTAGCACTGAGTAATAGTGTTTGCCTTGCGTGTTTCTGTGCCAATGGCCACATTATGACTTTCAGGTAAGAATGAGATATATTTAAAACACATATGTAGCACTTTCTCCCTCAAATCATATTAAAAAATTAAATTCTGTTTGAAAGAAGTGCTGTTTTGTTTATGGCCTTACATGTTTACTTAATAGTAAACATGTATATGAAGAATACAAATCATTTTTAATCTACTCAATCAAGAGTAGATTACAAACTCAATCGAGATTTACAAAGCTCCTGCAGTTTTTGACTTCTATATAATTTGTTCAAATCTAAAACTTACCATGTTTATATTAACATGTTCTTAATTTTTTCTCAAGTTTGCCAAGTTTAAGGCCTCTGTTGGATGTATACTACTTACCCCTTACCAATATGCGGATAGCCAGAACATTCTGTTTCACCAACAATGGACAGGCATTGTATCTTGTTTCGCCTACAGAAATCCAGAGACTTACATATAGTCAAGAGACCTGTGAAAATCTTCAGGTAAATGACAAAAATACTATCCTAATTTCTTCAGAGGTGATGTATTCCCTAAGAATCCTTATACTGTCTGTCTGTCCCTTTCTCACAGGGGACTGTACATATGAGCTCATAACAGAAAGTTCAAACCCTTTTTGTAAGGCTTTCATAGCACATGCTTTGAGACTTTTTTGACAAAAGTCTCTTTATCAGACACTTGTTGTATGAGGAGCTTCATCTTACTGATCCGTTCGTGTCTTTGCAGTTACAGAAAAGAAATATGAATTATCACATCCATTCTATATGCACTCTACACACACACACACACACACACACACACACACACACACACAGCATTTTTAAAGAAGTATGTTCCGGAAAAACTAATTTTATCTGTTTTGGGACAAATTGTGTGGTCCCATCTTATACACTAGGTATTCACAAAGATATTTATGCATGTAAAAACATCACTTTTCTTCAAGCAATTATGTTGATCTGTTTCTGAGAGACTGTAAGCAAATAAATAAGGAACTATCTTTTTTAGTATTTGAGTGTCTCATGTGCTTTCATATATAGTAGAAATAATCAATTTAGTGTCACTTTCTGAAATAAAACTGTTCTTGAAAAATTGAGCTACAGTGCTGATTGCTGTTTAATATTTAAAGGAAACTACTAAATGAAGGAACTTTTGAGTGAAACTTTTTGCACATAATTAGTCCTACGTTTTACAGTTTGCTCATCTGTAAATTTGAATTTGTGGTTTATTATTTCTAGAACATGAGCTTTAGCATTAAGAAGACTAAATTCAACCCTTCCTTGCACCACACAATTACATGATCTTAAACCCAGTTACTTAATGTCTCTGAGTGTCATCATCTTATAAATTAGGATTGAAAATAATACTTATCTTAGAGAATCATACAGGCCCTAGGAAAGAGGGTGCACATCAAGTGCTTAGCACAACACTAAGTGTCAGTTGTTATTTCAGTAAGCTGTGGTACACTGGAAACTGGCTTTGAGGATATTGTTGTAAACCTCAAGAGTAAAACAAAATTACATCTGATATTTTAGATTTAAATTCCCATTTACATTGGAGTGAAAGTTGTTTTTCAAAGATTCCTAAGTTTCTGAAGCAAAATGTTGCCTTTTATGGAAAAGATAAACCTGAAAGTTTTCCTTTTAGTGTTTGATTTCATTATTAAAGTGTTTGTTGTGTTAAGAAATAATATGGGCAACTTAATATATTCTTAATTCATTTCTATATGAAATGCATTCTTAATTCAACTTTTCAAAGTTCTAAACTTCATCGTCTTTCTGACATCAGTTTATTCTGTTCTTTGACCAGTGTTATTCTTTAATGAAAGTCCGTAACAACCATACTAAGCTTTACTTATCTATGTTTAAAAGATATTTTTTAGTTATAAGCTTTATTTTAATGACTGCTACATTCCTTCATGATATAAAGATAAATAAAAAGTGAACTTTGCTCAAGGAGTGTATGATACACTGTTTTCTTTGAACAACATTACATTTTATTTGCCTCCATATTTTCAGTACCTAGAAAAAAAATGCCTGACAAAAAAATCTATCAAATGAAAACTACTATGAAACTTAATACTTTTTTGGTTTCATAAATACCCTTTTACATTGTGCAATTTAGCCAAAAATAAAGAAGATGCTTATAAACATTAATGGAGTTTCAAGCCAAGATGGAGTAATATGGATCATATTAACCCTTCCTCCTGAAACAGCCTAAAAAGAGCAGACAAAACTCAAAACAGTAGTTTCCAAGATTCTGGACATCAGGTGAAGAAGAAAAACAGTCCCTAAGAGATAGAAAACAAAGGAGATGCCCCAGTTTTAATGCCTTAATTGAGCTTTGAGGGCTTGGCACAGAAAGGAGATACCGATTCAAAGCCTGGCATGTTCCCAAGTTAAGGAAGAAGAACCAATGGCCTGGGAGCAACAAGTGAGAGAGGAAAGAACTGCAAAGAGAGTAAGTCCTGGAGATCTGTAGGAGTCCTCCAACCATGTTCAGTAGAGTGTTTTTCAGCACATGCATGCGACTAACCTCTGACCAGAAAAAGAACCCAGAAAGGAATAAAAGACTTGCTTAGTGCCCAGGCCAAAAACTTCCTGTTCCCAACAGGCAGACTGAAAAGACTTAGAGGTCATGAGCATGTTAGTTTCCTGAAGGTGCTATAATAAGTCACCACAAATTTGGCACTCTAAAGCAGTAGAGATTTATTTGCTTATACTTCTGGAAGTGAGAAAACCAACATCAGTTTCACTGAATCAAAGTCCAGATGCTGGCAAAGTGTGGTTACCTCCAGAGGCTGTAGAGGAAAATGAGTTCCTTGCTTCTTCCAGCTTCTGACTGCTGCTGCTGTTCCTTGATTTGCAGCCACAGCACTCCAATCTCTGCCTTCATGGCCACAGTGCTTCCCTTTCTTCTGTGTGTGGAACAGCTTCCTCTACCTCACTCTTAATTATGATACCAGTAATTGGATTTGCAGCCCACCCAAATAATCCAGAACAATTTCCCTGCAGCAAGACACTTAGTCACATCTGCATAGACTACTTTTTCCTACAAGGTAACATGTATGGATTCCAGGGATCAGGACCTGTTATCTCTGGGTGGCCATTACTCAGCCACTGCTCTAGACCCAAGAAATCATAAAAGCAAGACCCGAAGGCTCACGGTGTTTCCTGGTATTCCAGAATGAAGGTCAAGAAAACTTAATAGAAGCCAGGCATGGTAAAGCGGTAATTCCAGCACTTGAGAGGCTGAGGCAGAAGGATTGCAAATTTGAGGTCAGCCTGGGCTACATAGCAAGACGCCATCTCAAATAATTATTTCTTAGAAGAAATAAAAAGTATTCAGGAGTAAGTAAAGAATACACAGGACCCAAGAATATAAAAATCTCAGTGTCTGTCATCCAATCAGATTACCAGACATGCAGAAAGCCTGCCCCATAATGAGGATATTCATCAATCAACAGAAACCAAAGCAGAGCAGACATAGATATTAGAATTAGCATAGAAGGATATTTAAACAAACATTGTCATTATATACCAAGTAGTCAAAAAGTTAGAGACATGGAAGATATAAAAGACCAAAGTCAAATTTCTAGAGATGAGAAATATACTGAATGTCATTAACAGCAGACTCAACCTTGCAAAAGAAAAGTTGATGGAGCTGAAAGCCTAACAAAAGAAAAAATAACTGAGTATTTAAATATAGGAGTACATTTATAGCCCTAAAGCATCTATAATAGAAAAGAAAGAGATCTCAAAACAATGATCTTTGTTTTGACCTTAAGCTACCAAAACATGAAGAGCAAAATAAGCTCAAAATAAGCAAAAGAAAAGAAAATACTAGAAATCAGTGAAACAGAAAATGGGGGGGGGGGGAATAATGAAGCAAAAAGCTGGTTCTTCGAGATCAATACAATAAAATTGATCTCAAGCTAGACCTATTACATATTACCAATATCAGAAATGAGAGAAATATCTTACTCCATATTCTGTAGATATTAAATGAATATTGGAATATTATGAAAACTTATGTGAATAAACTTAAAAACTTACATGAAATAGACAAATTTCTTAAAAGACACAAATTACCAAAGATCACTCAAGCAATTGATAACCTGTATACTGCTATGTCTAGTAAAGAAATTGAAACAGAGGTTAAAAACCTTGGACCAAGAAAATTCCAGCCTACCTACATGCCTTTACTGTTGAATTGTGTCAGCATTTCAGAAAGAAATAACATTTGTATACAACTCTTCTAAAAATTGAATCAGAAAAATGCTTCCCAACTTATTCTATAAAGCAAGCATCAACCTGATTCCAAAATGAGTCAAAAATCATTACAGGAAAAGAAAACCACATGCAAACCAAAATCACAACATAAATGCAAAACTTCTAAACAAAGTTTAAACAAATTGAATTCAGCAATATGTAAAAGGATAATACAGTATCACAAGTGGGATTTGTCCCAGAAAGCAGAGTTCAGTATCAGTCAATATAATTTATCATTTTTAGAAATAAAGAAAGTTGAAAAGCATTTTTTAAGAATTCAATATAATTTTTGATTTAAACAAAATCTAAGCAAACAAGGAATTAGAAGGGAATTTAAAGAACTACCTAAGAAAAATACACACTTAAAAATTAGCAGTGAAACGCTGAACTCATTTTCCCTAGAACTAGACAGGGATGTTCACACTCTGCACTTTTATTGAGTGTTGCATTTAAGGTTCTTACCAATACATTAAAAAATTCTTCATTGGAAAGGGAAACGTAAAGCTATTTATTCATAGGTAACATGATCATATGCAGAGTAAATCTAGTAAAGTCCATCCCAAAAAGCTATTAGAATTTATGAGTTTTGTAAGAATGTGAGCTATGAGATTAATATGCAGACCTAATTTTATTTCTAAATATTATTAGTGAACATTTACAAATTGATGTTTTAAAAGCAGTACCATTTCCAATAACAACAAAAATATGAAAAACTTTTGAATAAGTCTAACAGAAGTGGAAAGACTATATATTGCAATGCTGCAAAATATTGATGAAAGAAAAAAATTTAAAATAAATTGATATCTTATTCATAAATCAGAAAACTCACTATTAATTCTGTCCAAATTGATCTGTAGATTGAAGCCAATTCAATTAGAATTCCAGTAGTACATTTTTGTCCTTGTTAAGAATTGACAAGTTAAACTGGAAAAGTGCCTCAAGCAGTAGAGCACCTTCTTTGTAAGCATGAAGCCCTGAGTTTAAATGCAGGTCTCACCAAAGGGGGAAGAGGAGCAGTATGGGGACGAGGAGGAATTGACATGCACATGCAAGGGAAGTAAAATAGGCAAAGCAATTTTAAAAGGGACAGAATTCAAAATCTTTGTTACCTTGGCAACAGCTTCTTAGCTGTGATGCCTAAAGCACTATCTATAAGAGAATAAATTGATAACCAACAAAACTTAAATTTTTTGATCTTCAGAAACACTTAAGGAAGGCTGGGCATGGTGGCTCATGCCTGTAATTCTAGCTAACAGAGAGACAGAGACAAAAGGATTTCAGTTCAAGGCCAGCCTAGGCAAAAGGTTAGCAAGACCCTGTCTCAAAAATAAGCCAGACATGGTGGTTTGTGTCTATAAGCCCAACAACTCAAGAGGCAAAAAGTAGGTAGATTTCAGTCTAAAGCCAGCCTGAGTAAAAATGTAAGACCATATCTCAAAAAAAAAAAAAAATACCAAAAGCAAAATGGAAAGTAGGAGACCCTGAGTTCAACTCCCCCTAGACCACAGAAAATTGAAGGAGAAAAAAAACAGTTAAAAATTTGAAACAGTCCTCAGCTTTGGGGAATTGCAAGTTTAAACCTCAGTGAAGGACCTTTAAACACCTGTTAGAATAGCTAAAACTAAAAAGAATGCCAGGCCAGGTTTAAGGCAAGGATGTAGAGAAGACATAGAACTCTTAACACTATGCTGATGGAAGGATAAAACAGCACAACCAATGTGGAAAACAGTTTCTTAAAAAGTTAATTTGTGAAACAAAGACCCAGCAGTTCCTCTCTTAGTTTTTTTTTTTGTCTTTTTTTTTTTACTTAAGAGAAAAGAAAATTCACATTTATAGCTGCTTTATTTGTAATAGTAAAAAACTAGAAACTACCCAAGTATCCTCAACAGATGAATGAATAAACAAATTTTAGTATATCCATACAATGGAATACTACTCAGCAATAAAAATGAATAGGCTATTACTTAGATATAAGCAATAACACTGATGAATCTCAGAATACTTATGGAAGTTAATTAAGCAAGCAAAAGAATTCCATTTATATAAAACTCAAAAAATGAAAATTATAATAAAGAAAGCAGGTTAGCAGTTACTTGCAGATGGGGGTAGAGGAGTAGTAGTTCAGGGTTTCACTAGGGGCACAGGGAAACCTGGAATAATTGACTGTGGGGTGGTTTCATGGGTATGTGTATATGAGAAAACTTACCAAATCTGTACTTTAAATATGGACAGGGTTTTGTATGTTGATAATTCTTTTTTAAAGAGCTATTTTAAAATTAAGGGATTCAATAGTCTTTATCATTGAAAGGCAATTAGTCAAAATGTGTATAGATTAAAATGCTTAAATTTCTTTTTATGCTAATTAACTATACTTTAAAGATAACTTACATTGTTATTTTTCAAGTTAAGTGTTTTGAATTATTCGTAAACTTTAAGCTTTACCGTAGTCACAGAAGTGGAACATACCAATTAATTCACTTTAAATAATTATGTTAATAACTGTAAGCACCTTGAGATTATGATTTATTAACTAAGTCCTGAGTACTCAATATAGAAAATTAGTGACTATTAGCTTTTTTTAAATATATCTTACATTCATATGAAAGTTATTGCTTTACATATCTTAGAGATACTTATTTTTCAGATGACTATTCCTACAATTTAGGATTTTCTTAATCAAAACATTAAAATCAGTGTTATTTGATGTACTATAAAAGATTTTGTGATAGCCAAAGTTCACACATTAGCCATTCATGAAATTAATCCTAAATTCTATTGCCTAAACTGATAGCTCACACACAAGAAAAATGTAATCCAAAAGTCTAAAATATACAAGAATATTTGTTTCCATATATTCATATTTTAGATTAGTTTAAAAGTCCACAGTATTGTTTCAGAAATATAGCTTACTATGAGTAGATGTTGGGAAGTATCACAGAAAATACAAATCTACTCTACATTTCACCACCACTTACTAGTCATTAACATTAATGATTCTAAATATTACATTCAATCGTAGTTAAAATCTGCATTTAAGTACAGGTAAAAATGTTTATTAAGACTATATAATATTTCTTCTTCCCAGAGGAAAGAAAATAAGAATGTAAGGACTTCAGTCCAGTTCAGTGTTACAAATGAAGCTTTGTTCCATGTAGTGTTAATAATTACCTCCTGTCATTTACAACCTATCTGGAGAGACAGTGTTAGTATGGGTATTTCTAAAAGCAAAATCTTTGTACATCCTTTATGAGCTTTCTGCCCCACCCCTAAGGAAGAAACCCTAAAAAGGCATACTTTAACTCTATAACTATAATAATGTAATACCAGAGTACAGCAGAGCTCCTCTCTGAAGCCAGAAGTATATTTGTCCTTTATATAGTAATTAGTTCTCTTTAATAGACAGGAGCACAATCCCAAAGCCTCAGTGTATTACTAATTCACTATTATAGCTTCCTACAGCTGCCTTGTAAGTTATGTTACTACCATCCTTCTCTTATAGAAGCTCTTCTTCCCTCTGTCTGTATTGTCCACAAAATTAGTTGGCATGCCAGCAGTCTTTCCTTTCTCCAGACTTGCTTTTACCATTTCTACTCTGAAGAATATTGACAGTAATCGCAGGAAAATCTGGCAAAGAGAAGGAACTCTTCCCATCTTCCTGCCAGATTTCTGAAATTCCAGGTGTATATTGGCATAATTTTCTTCTTAATATATGTTTATGAAAAAAAAATTGGTATGTCTAAATTATTAATTATCTGACTCAGCTAAAGATTACAATTCTAGAGCTGTATATTATCTTTGTTACACTGAACTACTTTACCTGCTAGTAGAAAATTGTCTTCTTTCTAATGTAAGAAGACCTGATTATTAGTTCAATTATTAATTCTCGATAAGAGTTATGGGAAAATTTTGTTGGGAAAATTGAAAACTTGCCAGGCCTGGTGGCCCACACCTACAATCCTCACAATGGGGAGACTGAGTCAGGAGAATCTTCAGTTCAAGGCCAGTCTAGGCTCACAATAAGAACCTGTCTGAAAAATAAAAAATTAAATCTTATAGACTAAGTAAAAATACCATATTTGTCTGCAATGCAAAGAAATTAATCTAGAGAAAGAAGGAAGCAACAGGTTAGTCTTGGTAAATTTAGTCTTACAAGCACTATTTGAACAAGTTACTGTGTGCTGAATCTGTTTATTTAAAATATGCTCATTCATTATTGGTGACTCTCAACTGGCAATGTTATAAGCTCACATTAAAGAGTTTACAGTGATGCTTTTGTTAATTACAGTTTAGTTTCCCTGAAGCTTTAACAATTATAATTTCTTTTGACTTTAAAGGAGATGTTGGGTGAACTCTTCACTCCTGTAGAAACACCTGAAGCACCAAACAGGGGATTCTTTAAAGGCTTATTTGGAGGTGGTGCACAGTCTCTTGATAGAGAAGAACTATGTAAGTTGACCTATTTAATTCGAATGATGTATCTTTAGGACAGAAATATTCAGACCATATAAATTTCTTACATGTATAGATTTTGTTCACTTTTTTCCTTTGTCACAATAATTTATGTATCCATTAATAAAGCACATACAATTATGTTGTCATTCTTTCCCAAATCAGGAAAATATTTTTCTCAGGGAACCCAAATCAGAATTGTTTCAAATGCTGAAAAAGGAGTATGCACCACTTTAAGTCAATAATTTAGAAAGTATTTTCTTTATTTATATCAAGTGATATCTTCATTATTTTATTTCTGTGATTGTCCTTAATTGATGACTGTGTTAGAGTTCTCTCACCTTGACAAAACACCTGAGAAAATCAACTTAAAACAAGGAAAAATTGATTTTGGTTCATCGTTTAGTTTGTGGTTGGTTGGCTTTGTTGGTTTTTGTAAAGTAGACCATCCTAATGAGGAACACATGGTGGAGCAAAGCTTCCTACCTCATGGTAGCCAGGAAGCAGAGAGAGAGGAGAGCCCAACATCCTACTATTCCTTCAGGGGCATACCCCTGGAACTCACCTTCCTCCCTCCACTAGCCCCATCTAAAGGTTCCGCCAGCTCTCATCAGTACGTAAGATCTTGTGGAGTCACGTAAGATCCAAACCATAACAGTAACCTTAAGTTTAAAAAGCCCTAAATATTTGGTCCATCTTATACAACCTCCAGAACTATGCTTAGTCCATTAGAAGGTTATTAAAAAATAGGAAAATTTGGTCCATTTACTGCCTTCTACGTAATTGACATAAATTAACAGTTGGTCCTAGAATAGAATAATGAATCAATAATCGTTTACCTTTCTCTCAAATTGGAGCTATCTGTTCTTGAATTTTTTCTCTTTTTCTTGTTGGTTGAAATATTTTAAATTTTGTTTCATATTTGTTTGACTACTTAGAAAACTGTAACATTAAACAGTAGTAAGTAGCAGTTAGTACAATTTCATTTTTAAAACTTACTAATATTTTACTTTATATGGTTCCAGGAATCAGTTAAATCCAGGACCTCATGCATTGCAAGCAAGTGCTCTACACTTGAGCCCTGCCCCGGTTCATTTTTTAAAGTTTACCCAAGTGATTTGTCCATAGTTTTAATTCAGTTAAAATAATGAAGATGTCTTCAAGTAAATGGGGACTGATAAAGTTATATAAAAACTCAGTGTATTTTCAGAAAATTATTAAAAACATTGAAGAATTAACTGAAAGCAGTTTTTAGGAAGGACAGTATCCATGGGAAAGGATGGAAACCCAGAGTGGTGAGCTTGGAAGCTCGAGACCACTTTTACCCTGGAGTATGTTGCTTATTTGGAGTATGAGGCTAAGATAGAGAGCTGAGCCAAGGCTTGCAACATGGGCTTCCAGGCCCAGCAAGGATGTGAACCCTGAAATAACTCCTCCTCTTTACAAGAACTCCAAAGGGCTGCAGTTTACAGATTGCTGGAGTCCCCAATACCAGGCAGAATCAAATGAAAATATTAAAAGTTCTGTAAAAGAATTTAATATATTCCAAAACCTTAAATTCTTACCAATGATTTTTAAATAAATAGTCATAGATAACCAAGAACTCAAGGAAGCAAAGTATATCACAGAAACAGAAAAGGCAGAAGTAGAGTCATAAGCCTTTTCAAATAGTGGAAATATGAGGTGCAGACTATACAGTAATTATTCTTACATGTTTTATATTAGTTATCTGAAATAACAGGGATCAGAAATTTCAGATTTTGGAATTTTTCAGGTTTGATAATATTCCTAATCCAAAACTCTGAAATTTGAAATGATCCAAAAGTCTGCAACTTCCCAAGCATCATGTTAGCACTGTAAAAGTTCTGGACTTGGAGGTATACTTTGTTCAAGAGGATATCATTCTTCAGTATCTTAGAGATGGTGTAAGATGATGGAGGAATAGAAACTTTCTCCATTAGACCCCATAAATAAGAGTCTGGATAACAAGGAAAAGTCTACATACAGAAGAACAAAAGAAAGAAATGTGCATTGTTAAAATTTTTTAAGTGGGTGAGTGTGAATGCAAGTGAAGAATCAACTGGTGTAATTACATTAATATCAGGAAAAAAAGTAGAGCAAAACTTTAATAAATGTAATATCTTGGCTTTAATACATATGCAAAAACAAATACTGACACAATTACTAAAATAGACAATTTTCCAACCATAGTTGGAACTTTTCAATATATCCTTTAGCTAATAAAACAATCAAAAAATAATTAAGGATGTAGAAAAGATGTGAACAACACAATTAATGAACTTAAAATAACAGGTATAGAATATTATAGAATGCACATTCTTTTAAAACACAGAATGTTCATAAAATATATTTGTAGAGAAATTAGTAATGTATGCTGGATTATTTTTGGAGCAAACTATTGTTATGTCTTTAATGAATTTTAAACATTACATCCAAAACTTTCATGTATATGTGGTACTCATGGCAGAAATAATATTGCCTATTACCCATATTAAATAATGGACAAACAGATGTTTATCACCAGTTCTTTTTCATTTTCTATGTTAGTTTGTAACTCACAATTTTAAAAGTTGGGATTTTTTTTAAGTTGACCATATGCTAGGTTATTTTTTTAATCAGATTTCAAGAGTGTGGTTTGATCACTATACAGTTGTGCTTGTAATCCATAGCAAAGACAAATTCTCATGTTTGATAGCAAACAAATATATTTTTGAATTACTCTTGTGTCATAGAATTTGTAGCCACTGAAATTCATCTAAACTACTACTTAAGAGTGAAGTTCGTAGTCCTGAATGCCCAATATTAGAAAAAGAAAACAAAGTAAACAGAGTATTAGTCTCAAAAAGGTTGAAAAATGGCAAAACAAGTAGAAAGATTAGGATATCAGTGCAATGGTAAATAAATACACGGTAGAAAAAAATTGACAAAGCAGTCTTACTTATTTTAGATGCCGTAACAAAATACTAGACCAGGTGGTTTTTCAATGCCAGAAATTTATTTCTCATAGTTCTGGAGATTGGACGTCTGAGATCAGGACTTAGTAGAGCCATGTTCTTGGATTTCAGACAACTACCATCCTGCTGTGTCCTCACATGAGGGAAAGGGAGCTGGTAGCTCTCTACACTGTTTTTATACTAATGCCATATGTGATGACTTGTGACCTGATTACCTTCCAAAGTCCCCTTCTCCAACATCACACTTTGGACTTTATCTCAACATAAGAATTGCAAGGGGACATAGACATTTAGTTTATATAACAAAAGCCAAAAGTTGATTCTTTAAAAGTATTAAAAAAGATTAACTTCTGGTGAAATCAAGCAAGGAAAAAGGAAGACATGAGTAAACACTACGGAGAATGAAAAAAAGGATATCTTTAAAGTTATTGTTACCATTTCAAAAAAATAGTATGCAATTTATAATTTTATAATACATTTTTAAAATTTCGGTAAAATAAGTTCCTAGAAAAATATAATTTACCAAATGGACCAAAAAATAGTTTTAAAAAATCCAAATAGCATTGTAACTATTACATATTGAAACTGTCATTTTAAACTTTTCTGTAAATAAACTCCTGGTACAAAGTGGGCTTCATTAGTTAAGCTCTACTAATTACTTAAGGGAAAAAAAAAATACTTCTACTTGCAAACAAGGTCTTCCAGAAAAATAGAAAAGGAACTCACTTTGGAAAAAAAGAATTCATCAACTTGTGAGATTAGCACAACCTTGATAATGAAAGCCAAAACAGTGTAAGAAAGGAAAAAATAAAGCAAATAGACACAACCCAAAAATAATATATTAAACCCAGTGTTAAGTAATAAGGATAGTATGCCAAGCCATGATTGTTTTATACCAGGAATTCAAATTTCATTTACCATTTAAGATAGAAAAATCATTCAATAATTTGTCATATTGACAGAGTAAGAAGAAAAATCATATAAATGCAAACAAGACATGTTAGAATTCATTATTCATTCGTGATAGTGATTCCTAGGAAGTAAATTGATAAACTGAATCTAAAAAACTTACAATGTTCAGTATCCAAAACCCTATAGCAAATATCATACTAAATGCCAGAACATTAAAAGATACTAAAAACTTTTCCTTTGATATTGGGAATAAGATACTCTCATTACTACTATATAAGCATTCTACCTTACATCTGAGTCCCTAGAAGCTAAGTGAATGAAGAAAAAAGAAATAAAAATTAACAAAAATTGGAAGGGGAAAACAAAATTATGATTTGCAAATGAGTGATATAGTGATATATATTTAGAAAACCCAGAAGAATCTGTAGCTAAATTGATAGAAATAACAGAATTTGGCAAACTGACTGCATATCATTATACAAATAAAATTCAGCATATAGTAACAAAATTTAAGAATGAAAGTTTAAAATTTGCTATTGTTTTAATTTTCTATCACTGCTATAACAAATTACCACAGTTATTGGCATAAAACAACTCAAGTTTACTGCCATACAGTTATGTAATTATATGAGTCTTAGTGCTATTGCCAGAGCCATGTTCCCTGTTGGAGACTGGAGAGAAGACTATTCCTTTATTATTTTCAGCTTCTGGAGCCACTGTCTCTATTCCATGGGTCATGGTCCTTTTGTCACGGTTCAAAGCCAGCAACATTGCATCTTTCTGTTTTTGTGAAACCACATCTCTCTGCACACACAGCTAGGGAAGGTACTTTGCTTTTAAGGACTCGTGATTAGATTGGATTCACCTAGATAATACAGGATAATCTGTCCATTTCTAAGTGCTTAACTTACAGCAGCAAAGTCCCCTTTCCATTATAAGATAACATATTCACAGATTCTAGGGAATCTTCGGGGAATCATCTTTCAGGGGAGGCATTTTTCTGCCTACCATAAATATTTATTTTTAGAAAAATCAGGTTGCAGGGGTGAGTCTTGGTGGTAGAGTGATTGCCATGCACAAGGCCCTGGCTTCAATCACCAGCATCAAAAACAGGGAGAGACAGACAAACAGTTACATAAAAAAAGTGCCTACAGATGCCAACAGAAAATGTGCAGGACCTAGACGGAATTACAAGACACAAATGGATGCACATAAGATTATGAAGTGGAAAATCCAATATAAGATATCCAAAAACTGATGTATACATAGATGTGGGTGTATGTGTGTACATATACACATGCATACCTGATGCAATTTTAATTAAAATCCTCCCCCAAAATGTATGGCTGTTAGTAAACATTATATGAAAGCTCTAGGGTTCTCAACACTTCTTTTTACCATTATAATAGAACCTCTAACCAGGGCAATTAGACAATAAAAGAAAGTAAAAGGCATGTGGATTAGAATAAAAGAAATACAACTCTCACTATTTGCAAATGATATCATATTGCACATAGAAAAAGATCCTAAGAAATTCACACCCAAAACTTACAGCTAATAAGTTCATCAGCAGTGTTGTAGGACATAAGATCGATAAAAAAAAATTAGCTGAATTTCTATATACTAGTAATGCTTAACCCAAAAACGAAAATAAGAATTCTATTTGTAGTAGTATTAAAAACTAAACTACTTAGAAATAGAAAGATATTAAACTAAAAACTTTAAATATCATTTCAAGAAGTTAAATAGTAGTAAATAATAGTTGGGGGCACCAGTGGCTCACTCCTATAAACCTAGCTATTTGAGAGGTTGGGATCAGGAGGATCACAGTTCCAGGCCAACCCCAGCAAAAATGTTTGTAAGACCCCCCTTCAACAGAAAAAAAGCTGGGCATGGTTGTTACACCTTTTGTCCCAGCGATGACAGGAAGCTTAGAAACAGGAGGGTCATGGTTCAAGCTGGCCTAGCAAGACCCTATCTCAAAAATAACCAGTGCAAAAAGAGCTGGTGGTATGGCTCAAGTGGTGTGGCACCTGCCTGGCAACTGCAAAGTCCTAAGTTCAAACCATAGTATCACCCAAAAAGAGAAAAATAATTAAGATGTAAATAAACCAACATGTCATATTCGTGGATTGGAAGACAATACTGTTAAGATGTCAGTACTCCCCAAACTGATCTACATAGTTAACACAATCCCTATCAAAATCACAGCTGGGTTTTGCATAAAACACAAGCTATTCCTAAGATATATGTGAAAATACAAAATAGCCACATGCGAGAAATTCACCTCACATTTTTGTTGGCGGACTCATGTGTATTCCAGTTTCAGAATTTACTACAAAGCTATACTCATGAAAACAGTGGGATATATAGATCAATAAACAGCATTGAGAGCCCAGAAATAAACCTACAACATTTATAGTCAGTTGATTTTCTGTAAAGATGCCAAGAAAATTCAATAGTAAAAGAATGGTCTTTTTAACAACTAGATACCACGTACAAAAAAAAAAAAATTAACTCAAAAAGAGTCAAAGACCTTAGTGTAAGAGCTGAAATTCAAAATTCTTAGAAGAGAACATAGATATAAATCTTTGTGGTTTTTCAGAAAGAACACCTAAGTCACAAGCAAAGAACAAAGTAGATAAACTGAAACTCATCAAAATGAAAAACTTGTGCTTCAAAAAATAAATATCAAGAAGAGAGTGGAAAGGTAATCTGAAAACTGGGACAAAATACTTTAAAATCACTTATCTATCTGATATCTGATAATTTGATATACAGAATATCTACAGAGCTATTAAACCTCAGGAACAAAAAAAACCAAATAGCCCAATTCTTAAATGGTCAGAAAGTTTGAATAGGTATTTCTCCAAAGAAAATGAACAACTGATCAATAAGCATGTGAAAAGATGCTCAACATCATTTGTCATTCAGGAAATGCAAATCAAAACCCACAGAGATACCATTTCATATGACTAGGATGACTGTAATAAAAAAAGACACTACAACAAATACTGGCAAGAATGTGTAGACATTGGAGCCCTCAGACATTGCTGGTGGTAATAAAACAATGGTACATCCTCCTTAGAAAACTATCTCGCAGTTCCTCACAGAGTTAAACTTAATTACCATTCTACCTAGCAGTTCCACTCCTAGGCATTATGTATCCAAGAGAACTGAAAATGTATCTTTACATAAAACCCACAGGTGTTCATGATAGCATTATTCATAATACACAAAAACTGGAAACTAACCCAATCAACTGATGAGTGGACAAGCAAAATATGATGAAGCCCTAAAATATATTATTTAGCAATAAAAAGAGATGAAATACTGATGCATGCTATGACATAGATGAACTATGATGTTATTCTCAGTGAAAGAAGCCACCTACATAAGATCACATACTGTATGACTCTTATTTTATATAAACTGCTCAGAATAGGAAAATTTATAATAAGACAGAATAAATTAGTGATTGAGAAGGGTTGGGAAGAGGGGGAATAAAAAGTGACTGCTAACAAGCTTTGGACTTCCCTTTGGGGTGATGAAATGCTCTGGAACGAGGTAGTGGTGATGGCGGGGCAGCCTTGTGACTAGACATTGAGTGTTTACCTAAGGACTGATTATATAGTATGTCAGTTATTTTTAGTAAAAAAGAAAGAATTGTAAGCTGAAGGAAAAGGGAATGACTGTAGAATAAATAAACCTTTAAAGGATTGAAGACTTGCATTTATCTAGGTGTTAGATAACCAAGGACCGAATTACAAAGGGAAGGGAAGCAATCCTAAAATATTTTGAAGGAAAACTGATCTGTTTGGTAAATGACAAGAAAAATGGAGACAGAAAGAAATAAAGCACATCTGGCATATCTGCCAATTCTGCCGATTGTGAAGCTAAAATAGAATGTTTTTAAGTCTGAGCATAGTATTTTTGCAAAGTTTCAAATATGGAGTTAGGGGTGTTGCGGTCACACCTGTAATCTCAGCACTGGGGAGACTGGAAGCCAGAGGATAATGAGTTCGAGGCCATTCTGGGCTACGTAGTGAGGTTCTGTCTCAGAAAGAAAGAAAAGTAAACAAAGAAGTGTGGAGTAAATAAACTAAAACAAGTCTGGATATTAAATTTAAGCCTGCATATTTGAAGTTAATGTCTTTAATAATCTTTAATTTTGTGCACCATGCCAATTACCCATTTCAGCAAATAATTACCAAACTCTGATTTGCAGAAGTTTTCTGTAGGAATTAGTGTAGGGAAAAATATTTATTAATGATCCTTGTATGGAGTGTTGAATATGTAAATATTCCAGTCATGTTGCCACTCAGTCCAAAAATTATGTTTTAATCCTATCATGTAGTAGGATTTTATTTCAGTAAAATTTTTGTTTTTGGTGTTAGTCTTTCATTTTTCAAATCCTTTCAGTTGGAGAGTCATCTTCTGGGAAGGCTTCAAGGAGTCTTGCACAACATATCCCCGGCCCTGGTGGCATTGAAGGTGTGAAAGGGGCGGCATCTGGAGTTGTTGGTGAATTAGCAAGAGCCAGGTTGGCACTGGATGAAAGAGGGCAGAAGCTTAGTGACTTGGAAGAAAGAACTGCAGCTATGTTATCCAGTGCAGATTCATTTTCTAAACATGCTCATGAGGTATGTCCATCAAATAGAGAGTTAAAAGAATCTTGGTAAAAAGAGTATGAGAATTACTGTACTTTAATAGCTATTGTATTTCTACACATACGAATTTTCATTTTCAAATTTCTTTGTACAATTGCAAATTCCTGATTGTTGCCACCAGAGGGAGCCATTATAAGAATATTTCCAGAGACTTTGATCTCTTGGTGAAGTTTATAAATTTTGAAGGAACCTGCTCACCTTCAGCATCTTTATGAACAATGCCACCAGCTTTGCAACTGTTTCTTAGGGACTACAATAAAAATGCTAATTTCTCTTAATTCCTCAAGATCTACTACTACCTTGTTCTGAAGAAAGAAATTTGTCTCCTTGAGTCTCCCAGATAGATCAAAATTGGCAAACATTTGATTGAAATAAACAGTACTAAATCTGTCCTGTAAACTAACTCATATGTATTCACATGGAGAGGTCATGGGGTACCTTTTGCAATGGAGTCATTCTTGATCTCAGAAGTCATAATGGAGCTCAGAAATAGATGCTGTACACTAGGGATCCCTGAACAACCCTTTCACAAATCCTTTTTGTTGACTAGTATAGTGCTCTTTAAAAATAGAACTTTTAGAAGTCTGTATGTAACATAGACATTTTTCATTTTTGTACACATTTGCCACTTTCTCTGTACTTTGAGCCGGCTTACTTTTCATATTTAGTTCCTAATGTGGTCCTTGAGGATATTTTGAGTTTGTTGTCTGAGTGAACTATATCAGGGTTTTTTTTTTTTACATGAGCACCCAATCTATAGTTATAGCTTTCCTTTAAATTTTTCAACTAAAAGTAAGCTCTTCTTTGCTCAAGAATGCTGAAACCTACAATGCATGAAAGAGGTAACTCGACCTGGGAGATATGTGTTCAAAGCTTTAGAGAGATTCAGAAGTCCTTTTGAGTTCTTGTATTATGCCCAGAGACACAATACTAGAGGTAAGCTAGAAGCCCTCAATCTTAGACAGGAATTTTAGTTTTTATAACCCTGCACTTGACTGTATGTCTCTAACACAGATAACACTTCAGTCACTTTCACAATATATCCACTCTGCATAGCAACGAGCTCAGTCTCAAACCAATAGCTTTTTCCTTCTACCAAATACTGGTCGTCAGCCATATTTAAGAGTCTAGGGAAGACTGTACTTTGAGGTTGTTGCAGTCATGGTTTATTGGCTCAGATAGCCTGGCTTCAAATCCCAAGTTCACCATTATGTTAACCTTGAGTAAACCTTTCAGTTCTTCATTTATAAAATAGGGAGAAAAATACTGTGTAACTCAAGAATTCATGGGCAACTCAAATAAAATCAAGTAGAGAAAGTGTATGTTCAGTGTCTGGCTCAGTAGGCATTCAGTATATTCAAGATGTCAGTAGTAGTTGAATTTCCAGCCTTTCATTCCCTACATCTTTAAGCATTATTTTTACTTCAAAATTAGAGACTGGAAAATTACCTTATTTGTAGATTATTACCTTAGTTACCACATTATGTCACATCTCATAAAGGAAATTATGTCACATCTTGGAAGGAAAATTCAAGGACCATCCAGACTATTTCTTTCAATGGTCATTTTTCCTCTAAATGAAACAGTTCTTGTTGATTTCTTTCTATAAGTTGATTTTATTACAATAAGCAATATAGTAATACTAGAGAGTTTTTAGAGTCCTATGTTTTAGAAAAATATAGAAGCCACTTATAGATACTCTTGTTCTGGCATTTTGAAAAGATGTTTTTCTTTTTTTCTTTTTCCTCTTTAGATGATGCTGAAATACAAAGATAAGAAATGGTACCAGTTCTGACAACCAGAATCCATTAAGTCCAACTTCAGCCAGAAGGGAAAAAAATTTTCCTTTTTAGTTCATTTATTTAGGAAAGTCAACATTAAAGGGATGTTCATATCACTAAAAACTGTTCTTTCCTAGCACAATCATGCACTGTTTTACCTCAGTCATGTGGCTTTACCTGAGGAGCGTTCACACACACAAACTGGAATATATGGTGTGTGCCAGGTGTGAGTTGACAAATGAGGAAATAGCAGGTCTTATATGACAGATGAAGAAACAAAGAGTGATATTGAGGCGGCATGGTAGGGACTGTTCCTTGGATCATTCCTATATTAAACTTTCATATGCCAAAAGATTTTGTGCCGTTGTATCTGCCATCAGTGTTTGAGCTATTTGGGGGAGAGACAATATGTCAAAAGTCCTGAGGCTGAAATAGTTACATTTGTGTCATTAGACTGGATTATAAAAAACAGCTGTCTTGGACTCTCCCTTCCTTAAACTGACTGGTTATCAATATCATTAGTGAAAAAGAAACAAGCTGTTTGTTACCATATCTTTAGATTAAGCTGAATGGTGGGGCTTTAGATAATCAGAACATACACATGGTTGATTTGTGTATGGGCTACTCTTGGATTCTTGTTATATACTTGTGTTTAGTTCGTATTTTGTCAAAAGCAAAACAAGGTGATACATCACTTTTCATTGAAAAGAAAAGTGTAGAGCATGACCGAATTGCTCATCATTCTGGAAGTTACCATGTAGTGGCCATGCAATGTAGAAAGTGCAAAAAAACCTCCATTGTGGCGAGGAGAATACTTCAGTGTCCTTTGTCCTTTTTCTCATTCATTCAGCTAAAGGTGAATTTGACCAAAACAGTTACTGGTTAAATTTGTAGAAGAGTTGAAATTGGCTAAGTTCTTAATTTTGCTTGAAATTTTATAAAATGTTTAACCAAATGTATCTTTGCATTATTTAATTAAAATTGCTAAAACAACAATGTTTCATTATTTCAGTAAAATGCTCAGCTCCCTTTATAAAATGCCCTTTATTTGTTGACAATTCCAATTCACTCAGGTTGATGAGCCAGTTAAATCTTAGTGCACATGCTATCGCATGGAAAATTAAAAGCATCTGTTGTCAATAATCAAGAGTCTAGTCTGATGACCTACAAAACATTTTCTGTAGAAATATGCTATAAATCTGTGCGTATCCTTTCAAGGTTTAAAAAGCCAAAAGGAAAGGCAACTATGTACACTTTGGTAACTAAATTATTTTTGTTATTGAATATAAAGTAGATTGAGATAGCAATGGACAATGAATGATTGATTCCTAGCATAGCATTACAGAAAGGAAAGAAATTACTCCATAGATCTGGAAGTAAGCACTCTCTTAATGCCAGCTAATCTGAGATTATTGTTGATTGTGAAAGCCACAAAAGAAGAGCAAAATAGAAGCATTTGAAATGAATGTTAATGAAATTGAAATATTGTTTTCTATGAGAAATTTTTGAAGATCATTTTCTTTTTAATTAAGAGATAATCAGAGCACAAATTGACGGCAAACATGGTTGGTTTTCTAGTCCATATGATCATTAGAGGTATGTGTAGAACACTGTAGCTTTTTCACAGTCTGTTAAGCTTCTTCTCCTCTTTACTCTTTTCATTAATAAACTTTTGTTTACATTTTATAATGTGTACTACTAGATATAAAAGTTTACATCAAATTTTACTTTAAATACCATTGGGTAGGGACTAAGTATATGTGATAGATGTAATTGATCAATCCAAAAGAAATATTTTTAAAATGCAATCATTTTCAAAAGTGTTGAATTTGTAGAAAGTACCAATGAGTAATCTTTCTGTTTAGTTAATGTCAGCTGTCTGATGGACATTCAGCAGTTTACAAATTGCTTAATGTACATTACATATTATCCAGCAAACCCATTGTTCCATAATAAGTCACAAAAAGTATTAGGTCCTTTTTTAAAGGTATATTTTGTGAATATCTGTAAAATCAACACTTACAGATTTTTCAATGTTGTTGAGAAGTATTAAGTATATTAATATACTGGTTGATTCTCTATCCATGTAGAAGGTCCATAGCTTTAATTTAATTTCTGTGTTATTTTGTGTTATTTGTATAATAGATTAATTTTTACTGTCATTTTTCCTATTGTATATAAATGAACCAAACTTGTAATTATTTTCAAATAGAGAAGTAGATAAATTTACCCAAGATGGATTTTATAAGAAAATCTTAGATCAGTGTGTTAAATTACTGCATTTTTAAATTAATCTACAAATTATGCACAACAAACTAGAGACTCACTTAGGATTAAAAAGCTTTAAAGTATTTTTGAGTATAGGAAATAAGCTTCTAAGAGTTATACTTGATTCAGTCTGTAGATAAGAGTCAGTATGCAGTAATAACTAACCCAGGGAATTTATTGAAATTTGAGAGATAACATCTCTTTTTTTTAATGCAAAAAGTAGTAGTCACCAGCAAGCCAGGACTTCAGGAAAACTAACCAAAAAAATTTAAAAGTCAAAATAAAAAATGTATCAGAACATGAAAGATTTTCCCATATCTTCAACATTGTTTTGTCACATTTGTCCTTGACTCTAAATTGAAGTATTCATTGATTAACAGTTTTTCAGTAGGAAGTGATTTCCATATATGTACCATATATCCAGCTTTCACTTTGCAAACTAAAATCCATCCATATTTGCTTAGAATGGTCTTTGAAATCTTATATTCTCACAAACTTTGTACATTACATTCATTTGAAATTTTGCATCATCTTGACACCCTTTGTGTGGATTTCCACCCTATAAAGTGTTTCCAAATGTTGATGATAGCTGCAACTGAACTATTGCTAACTTCTTGAGCTTATTATGGATATGAAAAAATGCTGCTACTTGTCTATGTTATTGTGTGTAAGTGTATTGCAATTTAATTAAGAATAGTACTTTAAAGAAAGGTTTTCCTTTACTTCAGACTTCATTGTAGGTTCCTTTGAAATTATTTCATGTAGATATTTGAGTGTTTTAAACAAGTCTGAAAGTGTTAAATACGTTTAAATTATAGAGATGCTGGGGAGAGGAGTAAGGAAAGGAAGAATGTGTGGAAGACATCACGAAGTTCAAAGTTTTACCCTAAGTTCTATATTCCATATCTGTTTTGCTTAAGGCATTTCTCATGTGACATTAGAAAAGCTATATCCAAAGGTAAATTTTTTGTGGAAAGATTTATTTTACATTTTAACTTTAGGGATTTTGTTTATTTGTTTCTGCAAAATAAAGAGCACTGAACTTTAAACTTGAATTTTTTCTGCACTTTTTTAGGTAACAAAAACTTTTTATTATCATTTAATCCACATTTCAGTTTAAATGAAGTGATGCTTGTGTATAAACATACCAAAATCATGAATATGCTGCTAGTTGCACCTTAAACAACCAATCAGTTTTAAAAACCTTTCATAGGGTTTTATATAGTTTTCAAAGGTTCAAAAAAAGTAAAATTATTTTCTGTATGTTTCAGTGTTCTTGGTCTTAAGTTTAATTGCAACACTTTCAGATTTGTTTTACAATCATACAGTAACATGTTATATTTATACATACTGCTAGAGAATATACTTTTAGTTTTAAAATGGAATTTTTATAAATGTACTCTTTAATTTTAAAAATGGTGAACTTGTTAAGTTTTAAGTCAAAGTACTTAAAAAGTATGTATATTATCCATACAAAAAGTTATGTTTTACGCTTATAATAAGAAATATTGGTATCTCATATCGAGATACAATTAATTTTTTAAAATCATGCATAATTTAAAAGTCTTCATATATGACAGAAAAGATACCATAGTTTAAAAAAAAAACCTCTATTGAACATTTTCAAATTAATCTTCCTTTGTGGGGGGATACCCACAACAATGATTTCAAAACCTTTCTCAGTAGTTACAGCTTGCTGTTGGATGCCTACCTTAACTATTGTTTTAAAGTATAGATATATATATATATATTTAAAATAGTTTTCAAGGTATTTTCTTCTACCTTTTTTAAAAATAAATTTCCAAAAATGAAAACAGAGTTTATGTATTTTTGTCAATGAAGGTTTTTATTTTGTAGTTTATAGAATTTGTTCCTTATCAGTTTGATACTTGATCAGTATTTCCTACACTTTTTAATCTGTATTTTACTTTGAAAAAGAACACTCCTATATCTTACATGTCCTTTTTCTTTTCCATTTTAGGGTTTTGTTCTCTTAGATTGAAATTTATGCCCACAGTTTTTTTCATTTGAAAATGAATGTGGAGATACTGTTTACAGCTCTTGTTAATTGCTCTTTTCACCATTCTGATCAACTTCTAGTAGAGTGCTATAGGGATTATATTCTTGTGAATATTAATGATACTACTGCCTCGGAAGTTGTGAAGGTACTGTGGACAGAAAACAGTTGTTACAACCAAAAAAATTCAAAAGAAAAACATTAGCTTACCTTTTTGAGAGAATTAAGTGATTATTAACTTCCCAATTTCCAGGGTTATAACATTGTTTGTTCAGTCACTGATATAGTCTTAAAATTATTAGGCACACTTCATTTATAAATTGAGTACAGTAATCCAGGGTTACTTGTAAGTGCTCTCTTTATTTTTCTCTTTAAACCAGAAAAATCATGAATGTCAGTTTTGCCAGTATTTTGCAATGAGGCTCATAGTTTCAATTAAAATTTTGTAGTATGTAAGATGTAAATAAGTATTAGTTTATCGTAGGTCATTTGACTCAGGCATTTAAAATGGTACAGGTTATTGACAATGGAATCCTATTTAAGTTTTTTTAATACTTTTGCTATTTGTTTTCTGTTGTCTAAACTTTGTTTCAACTGAAGACAATGTAATGCAACAGGCTCAACATATCAGTAGAAAGCAATGCAAAGAGGATAAATCATGGTTTGATTTATTTTAAGTTTTTTCTTTGTAAATAAACAGTACTGTGATACTTTAGGTATGACCTCTGCTCAGCATGGTAACTAGAACCAGAAAAACATTTTGCTTTCTAGTTATACCATCTGTTTCTTGTAAATGCATTACAAGAGACAATATGAAAAAGAGCAAGATTTAGTTTTCCTAACATTTGTTTATGTCACGGGCAAGCATGCTTGGTGTAGCACTATAGCTTGTATAGACCTAAAACTGTACACGCAGGTGGTGTGCAGTTGCTGCACTTTCCTTCTCTATTTTTTTAAATCTTGCTCAGTCCCAGTAACTATCTCAAAGGTAGTTGCTGGAATATGCATTTGAAATATTGTTTAAAAAAATCTCTGTGTACTGTTTAACAACAACAAAAAAGCACTATTGCAAACACTAAAAATGTGTTCAAACTTTATAGTTATTTTGCATTCCTGTAATTTATCAGCAAAAAAAAAAAACTGTCATCACAGCAAAAGGTTTAAAATTAGGTAATGAAATATTTTTGTAAATAAATACCATTAAGATGGTATTTTAAAAGTGTATTATAAATTAATGTTTCTGGAAAATGTTCATATATATGTATATGAATGTCTCTTTATGCTGAAGGGCTCTGATTGGGCAAAATAAAATAGTCTAATCTCTCCTGAAACTAAACAAGCCCTTTTTTATGGAAAATATGTTTAATAGTTTTCTGACTTGTGGAATTAACCCATTATTTTAACCTGAGAAAATAATTGATAAAAAAAAAAACAGATTGCCACATTTCCAAAGGGAAAAGCAAATTGATCGGGTAATTCAAGCAAGGCCAGCTGTGCATGTAACTGTGGAATTTTTGGTGAAAATGCCTACCCCTTTGGTATGTGGGTAAGAGGAAAGGAGTTGGGGTGGGAGTCAAGGAGACAGGAGCCAGATCTAGAGATACCCAGTCACCTGGGGGTCTGATTAAACACATCTCTAATATGCTCCAACTAATACTGATGTTGCTGGGCTGTGGAACATACTTAGATTCGCTAGGACAATGGATATGGATAATTTCCATCTTTGGCATTTTGCTACTTGATTTGTCAGTATGAGTGTCCAACTATTTGTACAAAAAATGAATATCTCATTAATGAATCTAGGGTAATTAACATAAAGGCGGTCGAGCTGCTTATTTGTCATTGTTTCCATTGCATTTTAGAATAAAGTCTATGGCAGTTCTCTTACTTTGAGTGTTTGACTCTTCCTGTGGTGAAAGACCATTCCACATGGTGGCAGTCGTGTCTCACCTTATGGTGTGAGCCTTAGCAAGAAGTGCTTACAGTGTAATTGTACAAGGGAAGAGCCACAGGCTTTGCAAAAATGAATTTTCCTAACTGATACACCATCCAGAAAATTATTAAATGATCTAATATATGAAACAGACAACACTTTTTTCCTAAGTTATACATTTCTGTAGATTGGTAGTGGTAAGGCTTATTATCAAAAGAAATTTTACCATTTTTCCAGAAAACATAGGCATAAAGTGATAAAATTTTGAAAACTGAAGATTGTCTTCATTTCTCTGGTCATGCCTTTTTAAAGGTCAGTACTTTGGGTATGTCCTGTGTAAATGGTACAGTATCATTCACTGCTTTAAATAGAAAAATATTGGCATTTTACCTCTTCCTAGGAGTTATAGGAAGATTCTGATTTTCTTCCATTAAAGATAATGTTTTTGTCATTATAGTCTCAGTTTTTGTACAGAAGTGTTTTGTCATAGGCACCCTAAGAGAAGCTTTTGAAATGTTTATTATTCGTACTAAGGCATCTTTTAAAGAAAAAAAATACTTCTCTAGTCATTTTATTTTTTCACATTTTATTCATGTTGCTAATACTTTATGTACTGTTTAGCAATATTTTTTTCTAATCATGCAAATCCTAAGGAAGTAGTCTAACATTTAGTTCTGATCCCCTTACATACTAGTTTTAGAAATAAAATTCCATGTTTTTTTAGTAAATGCTTTCTAAAACAATATAAAAATTGGGCACATATCTAATTAACAAAAACAAAGTTTTAGATAAGACAGTATTTGTTACTAACAAAGTAAAGAAGTCAGAAGACTTCACCCCAAGTTCCTACTCTTCAGTGAGTTTTAGTTTCATTTAATTTTTGGTAGTATTGGGGCTTATACTTGCTAGGCAGGCACTTTATCACTTGAGCCACTCCACCAGACCCCAGTAAGTTTTATTTTAATCAGGCATCTCTTTACCCACTTGGAAACATTATAAATCCTTTATGTTTCTCAGCCCTCCCCCTAACTAGTCCGTGGATTTTTAAATAATTTTTATAAGCACAATGATGCCATCCCTACACCTCATAAACTTCAGACACTCAAAATCGCAGATAAAACAACTTAGCACACAGAAAATTTGTGTTCAGGCAGTGATTGTAAAGATAAAGAGTGCTGTAGATGTGATGTAGCAGTGTCATGCCAGCAGCCCACAGATCTAGTCCTAGCTGCCTCACAAGGGTATCTTAACAGGTGGTGTCTGCGCTTTCAAGATCAAAGACTCCAAGAAATTATGGCATCACCTGAGTGCAAAAGTTAAAAGACCACATTTCAGAAATATAACCTTTCTATGGCCCTTTAACAATATGACTAGATATGGGGAGTGGATTATGAGAAGCCTGTGAGAACTGGACATTAGCACAGCTGTACCCAGTGTTCTGTAGGCTGAGTTCCACACATCCCAGCCACAGAATAAGGTGAGAATAAGATGCAAAGCAGCTGCTTTTCCTAAGATGTTTTTGCAGGCTGAGATTGGTACTGCCCCAGCCACAGAAGAGGAAAATGCAAATCAGCTGCTTTTCCTAAGTTGTTTAGGTTCAGAGAGGTAGATCACAGGTTTCTGTTGTTACAATGTCACTCCCCTCCGCAAGAGCTGTTTCCCACCTCCTTGTTTACCACTGGGTATAAAAGACTTGCTGAAGAAGGACAAGAGGCTTTTTGGCTTTTGAATGAAGGGAGGCTTTGATGTGGGAGGCTTTGGAAGGAAAAGGATTGCTGAAGGGAAAAGGATTGCAGAAGGAAAATTGCTAAAGGGGTATTGCTAAATAAAAGGGTTGATAGAAAGTCTGCACCAAGAACTTTATACATAGGCTTTAGAAAAGCTAAGCTAAAGAAAAGCTACAGAGAACACAGGACAGTGCAAGTCTAAGGACCTAGACTTTGAGAGTTATGCTAATGCAGGTTTTAGTTGCAAGTCTGAGGGCAAAGACTTTGAGAGAGATTATGCTAAAGAAAACATGGGACAGTACGAGTCTAAGGAAAGAGACTTTAAAGAACAGAAGACTTTAGAAGTGAGGTTTTAAAGAACTGTAAAGGAATAAAGCCTTAAAGTAAAGATAGAGAAAAGAAGCAGAAATGAAGAAAATAGAGTGTTGTGCATCTCCATCAGAGCACACAACACACCTCACCCCAACGTTCTATCTGTCTATCATTGTCCTTTGTGCATCTCTCACCACCCCCAGTTAGGCCTACTTTAGTTCAGTTAAGTAGATGCCATGAGATTTAACCATGGATCTCAAAGAAGCATCAGAATCTCCTGAAAACACAACTCTTGTTAAATGCAGATTGCTGGATCACATCCACTGAGTCTGCCAACAGCATGGGAGAAGGCTTGAAGATTTGTATTTTTAAGGAGTTCCCAAGTGAGCTGATACTGCTAGTCCAGGGTCCAGACAGCCCTGTTCTAGAACCATGCCCTTCACTGCAGTTTCTTCTCTGTACCAAATACCTGATTGTCTCCTTTACTATCCTGGAACTTGGTAGGCAACATGCTTGCTGATAGGTTTTAATTTCTGAAAATTAATATATCTGAACTAATACACCAGACATATGAAGTAAAAAGAATTGATCATTTTTTAAAAGTGTTTCGGTATGTAAATATGGATATTACACACTAGAAGAACAAAACACTCCCCAAGGGGATAACTCCACACTGCTTTCCACTGCTAGCACTCAGCCTTGCCCCATCCTCTCAACATTTGAACCTTTGGACCAAAGAGTAAGACTACAGTAAGACCCATTCTTTTTTTCAACCTATTCCCATTCAGTGGGATTGTCATAAACATGTTAAAAAATTCTGTGTTACTGTGTGTACTTAAAAATGTAGAAAAGAAATCTAGACTACTTAAATGCTAGTTGGATTTGGGGTGCATTTTGCATTAATTCCTCTTATGTTCTAATTTTCTTTCTATTCCATGTTGGGGTTTTTTTGTTTGTTTATTTACATGTGCATACATTGGGTCATTTCTCCACCCTGCCCCCTCCCCCATCCTTCTCCCCCTCCCCTCCCCACTCCAGAGGAACTAATACAGAAACCTTAAAACGACAGGTTGTCATGAGCAGGGGATCGGGAACCAAAGTAAAGATCAGTTAGAGTTAAATCAACATGGGTCATAACACACAGGTACATGAAAGCAATAGTAGGAATCTTTCTGTATAACTATCCTTAACTAGCAAAAACGCTTTGTCTTTCTTGTTATGCATATGTCCTTTCTTCAATAAAATCAGTGATAAGGGCAGAACGAGACCTGCCTGAAACTATTCCATGTTTTTTAACTAGTCAAAGTAGATGAAAAAGCCAGGACTTACCTTATGAACCTAAAGCTCATAAACAAATATATACTGCTACTGCTTCATGGTTTGCTTCTTCCAACGTAACCATCTCTTGATAAATAGAGCAATGAATCCATTCTATAAAGATTATACAGATTCTTACAGGTTATATTTTAAAATCTGGTACATAACCTTCCGAACAGTCTGTTGGAAATGCTCATATTTTCCTGATAACTAAAACTTACAGTGTGTCTATTGGCTAATAGGCCAGACAGCCAGCCTAGGATTTTATGTAAGTGCACTGAAAGTGGCATTTCAAATGCTGACACATCAGCCGGAGTATGAAGACCAGCTTTCTGTTCCTGAGATTTCTAGCAATGCTAATAACTTTCCAACTCACTCAGTCTCTATTTGGCTGAGCTTGATTATTTGTAAAACTAGATCTAAATATTGACCTTAGCTAGGAAAGATAACCTCTAAAAATCACTAGAAAAACCATTTTCATGCAAATAAAGCTTTATAATCTTAAGACTATTAGTCCCTTAAATTTTTTCTCTCTAATATAGAGAACAAGTACTTTTTGGTGTTTAGCCATAGCATAGTTACCATTTTTCATAGGTCATTTATAAAACATCTCTAAACACAAAAGGTGTCTGCCTGAACTTTAACTGTTGTTTTCCTGTTCTTTTATATAGTCTCTAAAGTCTTTGCTTCTATTTAATAGGAAAAAGAGACCTTGGAGTCATATCAAAACCTGAGGCCATTTCTGGTGCTTACCCACACTGCAACTTCACTTAATCTTTATTGACACTGATTTCCATCACAGGTTGATGGAAAGAACAAGAACAGGGTCCACGTAATAAAATCCTCTGAAGGATGCTTTGTGCTTACAACCAAAAGACAGCACAAGGGACAAACTCTCACTAAACTGCTGCAGTTCCCTCTCCATGATATACATGGGTAGCTCTTGCGGGTTATGAAACTGCAAGAGTTTCATAGTCTGTAAAATGGTAATGATTATGAATCGAATACATGTAAAGTACTTGGAATAGTGTCTGATACAAATAATGATATGTGTATGTTTTTATATGCATATATACACAAATAGACATTTTTTTTTAGAGGTGTTGGGGTTTGAACTCATTGCATCATGCTTGCTAGGCAGGTGGTCTACTACTTCAGCCACTCTAGCCCAATATTTTTAAAACTATATTCTTCTTTTCTTGTTTTCTTTGGGAATGGGGGTTGGGCTTGATATAGAGTCTTGCTATGTAGCCTAGGCTGGTCTGGAGCCCTTAGTCGTCCTGCCTCCAGTTCCAGAGTGCTGGGACTTGTAGGCATGCACCACCAGAACCATCTTAAAGTCTATTCTTTATTCATTTCTCTCACAATTTGCTAAAAGGAATCCAGTTTATAATCCTCAAGCAGTTCTAATACTCTTGCTGCCTTCTGAATTTTAGTCTCCCACATATTCCCTGAAAACTTTCAAATGCCAAAACCTTCAACATGCTCCCTCCCTCTCTCCCCTTAGACTGTGGTTCCCAGATCTGGATTAAGAATGATCCAGATTCTCTTCTGCATCTCAGATAAGGGCACTCAGATCTGCACTCCTGAGTCACCCCATCATGATGTGGGGACCTCCTCTGAATTCCAAATAAGTCTAGAGCTTTGATCCTACTCAGACTTCAGTGAATTCCATCATTTCTTTCCCCTCCCTGGAGCTAAGCACTGGTGTCTGGCTCAGAGCCCTGTTCTCTTTCTCCATCCAAGCCTGTATGATTTATTATCTAGTCTGGATGGACCAGAAAAAACCATCTGCATCCCTCAAGTGGAGGCCAGAACCTCAGACCTTGACGTTTAAATTCAAGCTGCCATTGCTTCAAAAATCATTTTTGCCCCAAAACTGTTGTGTGTACCAGGGCCTCTAAAACTCCATTTTGAAATGCAATTATTAGCTTTTGTTTGTTTGTTTTTAAGACATGATCTTGCTATGTAGCCCAGGCTGGCCTCAAACTCAGTGTATTCTCTTGCCTCAGCCTCCCGAGGGCAGGAATTACAGGTGCATACCACCACACCTGGCTCCGGCTACTTTTGTCAACCAATATTTATTGGACGTCAAGATATGACACTCTGTTCTAAATATTGGAAATAG